TTGGACGGCGTGTGCCTTGCTCAACCCCAGCTCCTTCACATTGTGTGCATTGTGCATCATCTGCATGTCCTACTTAGCAGCCCTAGCCTGGGGCCGCATGACATACCCTGTCATGCGGCCCCAGTAGCATGACCCTGAGTCAGTGCGTCCTGTGTTGCCTGAGCTTAATCCAATGAGTCCCTTGTGAGCTGAGGTCAAGCCAGTGGGCTGAGCCCAGGCTAGTGGGTCCTGTGTCGCCTGAGCCCAAGAGCTCAAGTTTGTCTCCACATGCCAAGAAGACCAAGCCTCCTGAAGGATGCTGCCTGCTCAATTATTGCCAGATTCCTGCCAAGTCATTGAAGGGTTCTTGTTGCTGTTGTCAGTTCTCAGATAAGCCTCCCATGGTATTCCATCACCTTCACCGCTGGACTCCAGAGATTCTCTTTCAGTGCAGTTGTTGGCTTCTAGAGGGTCCCCTTCGATGCTGTTACAACCACCACAGGGATCCCACTTGCTTCGTTATCACTGGCCTCCTGCTCGATCAGATGAGCTCCACCTCAGCTGCTGGTATCCCACCCTGCCTTGTCACTCTGTCTTCTAGAGGGCTTCCATCTTCTTCATTGCTGGCCTCCTCCAAAGCCTCCAGAGGAGTCCCATCGCCTCTTCCATTACCAACCAAGGCGCCTGAAAGCCTCCATCTTCACTGCTGCTGGCATCCTGCCTGGCATGCCGAAGAGCTCTGTTTCCTCAATTGCCGCTTGGTGCCAGCAAGGCCTCCTGAGAGGTCCCGTCATGTCTTTTGCTGTTGGGGGACAAAAGAAAATTGGTGTACAACCAGTCCCTACATACTTCCTGTTTAAAGGGATGTTTTTCCCTTCCCACTGTTGACTGGTGCTTTGCTATAGGGTTGTCTTTTTAATACTTTTTAATATTCACTTTGTAATATTATAGGGTCTTTACTTTACTGAAGTAAAGTTGTAAAGGAGAGTGGGCCAAAATTATTTCACTATGTTGCAAAAGACTGATAAAGGCATACAAAAATTATTACCTCAAGTGAATGCTACTGGTTCTGCAAGCTATTGAATCATGAGATGAAAAAGAATGACTATACAAGAGAGTAGGTTCACGCTATCTTTGGTTGTCTCACTGCAAATTGTTCAGAAGTGACCTCATAAAAAACGTCCCAAGGTTGAGAAACTGTAGGAGTCTGAGTCAGGCACTGTGTACTGCAAGCAGTCATGCAATAAACATTTGTTTTGGGAAGACGCTGGCAGCATTACACTGGGGTGGACACTGATCTCTCAGCATGGGGCCAAAGGGACACATACACAATTTTTTAGCAGGATATTTTCCTCCCTTCTTTAAATACATTTTTTTTTAAAGCTGGTGAATTTCCTTCATCTTATCTCTGTCTGTTTAGGTTTTAAAATACTGATGCTTTCCTTACAAACCTTTCCTTTTGATTCCTTTTTTATGTACACTTGTGCACACGGATAAAAATGAGACCAGAGGTTACCGCCTTTTATAAAGTGGCAATATGAACATATAGCCGCTCTGCAATGTCCAATTAAGTTGCAAAACGTCAACTGTTATAATTTCCATTGGCTTTTTATTATAAACACTAACTAACAGTATCATCTATTATTGGCAATGCAAATGCATTCCTTTTAAAATGCATTTAATGTAAATTATTTTTCACTGATTATTCTTCAGTCCAGTCTCAGCATGCTCTCAACGTCACTTGGAATAACTGAAAAACCTATGCAAGGTAAAACGTGGACACACTAGATATTGATTTGATTGATTTTTTTTTATGTTTACTGCTCTTTGCTTGAAGTTGATTAATCAATGAAGAAATGCTCATGACATGTTTTTAAGCAGCCATACTTTAATTTAGTGTCTAAAATTAAGTGATCTGTGCTGTATGTTAACTTCAACTAATGTATTTGTAATTTACATTGCATTAGTTATTAGAAAAGGTACTCTCTGGATTTTTGAGGTAATGTACATCATTTATGATGCAGTAAAGCAAACAAAACACAAACTAGATGCAGAGTTTGTATTAAACCTCTAAGGAGTTTTCACTATAATCAGCTCTTTAATAGTCCTCAAAAGTAACACTATAAAAAGACAGTTTCAAGTATTAAATTAATCATACATTCTGTAAAAGGAAACTTGTTTTCGTTTGCGTTAATAATATCAAAGAGTTACAACATTTGCCTTGATTTTTGAAGTTGTATGTAGGAAACATAGTATCACAAAAGTGAGTGAGCTGTAGCTACTGTGCGTATTATGAAAAAAATAATAATAGGAAAATTTGATATGATTATAGTCAATGCCAGTACATATGTTTAACCATCAAATGTACATTTGGACACAATGTGGAGAGAAGACCAGAAATCTTTGTCACTAGTGTTCTTGTTGTGTGTGCAATGTAATTGAGATTTGCACAATAGTACTATACCTAAAAGCCTCATTTGGCACATTTATGTCATCAGCTCAGTTCAATGTGCAATCTTGGACTTGTCCTTTGTGGCTGCTTACATTAAGAAAAAAATGCGGCTTGAGCTGATTAACAGCGTAACTGATGATGACTGCTCTCGAATCTGGCTGACTTCAGACTTTGAAATCTACAAAATAGAAATTTGAAATAACTCATGCCAGATGAACAAGTGAACCAAGGTGATAAATTCAGCAGGGGAGCAATGATAAACTGGGTAGGTTTAAGGAGACAAGCAAGTGATTGAACGTTTGATTTCGTTCCACTTGTAGCTGTGGGGCTTCACTGGAAGGAAAAGACATCATGCAGCAGCAAAAAGCATATAAATTAAATAGCCATCAATTTATGGTTTGGGAAAGATAGTTTATCATCTTTGAAAAGCAAGCTATTCATTGGCTCTATTATTTACGTAACAAGGACAAAAAGACTGAGGTGAGTTGAGCCTTGTTGACAGTGTGGCCTTTTGTTCCTGGCGAGGACAGTTGCTAGATTGAATTGATCTGACTTTAGAGCCTAACGTTTATCTTGGTCAGTCATATCTGATCTTTGGCTGTCAGGTGGAGATGGGTTCCTTGAAGAAATAAACTGCTTGTAGAGCTAGTGAAGGATCTGCTTTGTCTGTATACTATAGTGGCAGCATATCCAAATCAGCCAAAAGTGTATGTTTCTCGAATTAGAACAATTTTAGATAATAAAATAATTAAACCTGTAGAAAAAAGTATTTATCCCCATGTTACATGCCATTAGACTAATATGATAAATAATAAACGAGGAACTTAAAAAGATATTTATTTAGAGCTGTTTAAGTTCAAATTATTAATATTGCACCAAAGTCGAATAGAAAACACTCCATTACTTTCCTCCAGTCATATTTTCCATGGATAATTTCCCATTAGTTCACTTCTCTCCAAGAACTTCCCCACAAATACATCAAACAAACAAATGGGGAGAAAAAAAACAATTACAACAACAATTTAAAAAACAAAACAAAACATAAAAACAACTTTCACTTCTGCTGGCACAGTTTCGGTTCAGTACAGTCACTCCACTTTGAAAGCTGTGAGCTGATCCTTTTGACCGTGTCTTTTGCTACCTGGGCCATTTCTAAACCAGAGATCATAATCCTCGAAGGGCCCTCATTAAGTCTTTGCTCCAATTAAGCCACACACATTTCGCCACAGCACAATTGCTTTGTACCACAGCACACAAATCCTTCAACAGTGGATTAGGCTGTTCAGTGGGTGGGATGAAAATAGCAGTGCTGGTATGTCAGTGGAAGAGGTGAGCACTCCTTAAGTGTCAGCAGCCAAGGGAACTATGTTAGAGGTAATATTAACCTAAAAACTTCGTCATAATAGATATGGCCTATTTAGATATCTCAAATGTGGCTTAGCAAGTGGAATCACTAAGCAAGTGCTGCTGAACTCGAATGGTATGTGATTTCCACCTAGCATCAAGGTCATTGAGCCCTAAATGTTTTATCTTTCACTGTTTCATAATCTGTTATTATCCAGTGGATGCATTAATGAACATGGTTAGATATATTGTTTTCACTTCTTAACCGCTTCATATTGTACATTTCTTCCATTTAATAAAGAAAAAAGAGTGATTGTCAGCAAGATATTTCCCCTTCGTTATACTAGTTCAGTCTTTAGCACTGGAACTGCCAAGGGGGTAATTTTGACCATGTTGGCATTTTAGAATTTCTGTGGCTCTGTTAGATCAAAATGCCATAAAATCATATTTCCTCAATTTTCCTAAAAGGGTATTATTCATCAAATATTTAATTTCATGGTATGAGATCAAAACATTAACCATTTCTACCTAGAACCACTGAGGAGGTCATTTTGACCCCATAGAAATTAAGCTAAAACCACTACTGCAACTCTGGGTTGCCTAGCAACATGATTATCAACTATAGTTTTACATATTATATTGGCCATTAAAAAACATGACTAATTTTGGAGTATTATCATTAACTAAGCTTGCTGCTTTCAGCCATTCATGACCAATGAAGCAATGACAACTGCAGATTAAATAGACAGTACAGAAAATAGTAAATATTTGGCTCCCTGCCTTTCTGTGAAATAGAGTGACAAAAAGTCAGCTCTTCTAGTGTGGAGTTATCTTAAAACTGTTGCTGATGTGCATTTTAACATTGTACAGTCAAGTAAGGCACATTCACTATCTGAGGCTGCAAAACTGAATTGCATGCGCTCTGCAAATGCTACTCACTTGTCTTCTCCAGCTGAAATGATGGCGTAATGAGGCATTCTTTGGCAGCTGTTTAGGAAGAAAAAAGATCAAGTTGACCAGGCAAGGAGAAAGATATTGTGCGTATGTCATACTAGTCTTTTCTTGGCTACCATGCGGGTGTGGTAGCTAATGTACCTCCTTGGAGTGACGTTTCTTCAAGTGTGTTTATCCTGGATCGCTGGGCATTTGTGGATGCTGACTCGTTGAAGTCGTGAGCTCTTTCACCATGTCTGCTCTGATTTGTGTTTCTTTTGTTTTATTTCAGACCCTGGAGTAAGTGACCCGTGCATAGAGTCACACTACACGTTTTCCACTGGGTTTCTGTGCTTCTACAACAGCTTATGGACATTTGATATTGGGAAGCTAACAAGGTATGTCACTATAAATCCATGTCTTTCTGTAATTGTGAATTTTGATATAAAAAAAACATTTTTATTTTATAATATAATATGTAATATAATATTTTATAATATATCACAGATAATTAACATGTTTGCTATCCCCAGCTTACACTTAAAATCAATTTTCAGCAGCTTTCACGGTGCATGTGTGGTTTTAGTTACATTTGAACAACAAATTGATGACGATCAGCACTGATCTATGTGAGATTGATCTGACTCTGCACCACCATTATTTAACGGTCCTTAAAATGCGAGGGATTGCTTCTCCCTGAGATTCCATTTTTTATTTATAAATATAGAATAGTGGACATAATAGTTTTAATTTGCCTCACCAAATGTGTTTGCAGTCATGGTAACCCACTGCCATTACATAAGACGTTAAAAGGAAAGGAAATCATCATTGCTAAGTAGTTTTACATAATTTAAAGAATTGCATTTGCATTAGTGGAATTGATTGGAAAATTTCAGTTTCCTTTACAAGCATTTTGTACTGGTATTGGTTATTTAACTTAATTTAAGATTTAAGCCAAACAGGATTCTAGATTTGAATCCAAAATGATGAGATAGTCCAGTTTATGGAAATGCCTGTGTACTTTCAACACAAGACTTACCTCAATAAGTATATGGTATATATAGTATATGGTCAAGATATAAAATATGACATATTAATAATACTGCTTCTGCAGGGAATGACTCTGTGGGTATCCACCACATCTAGCAGTCTGCATAGCCTCAAATGCAAGTGCTGTATGATTCTGGTCAGATCCAGTGTATTTTTTATTTTTATTTTTTTTTGGGGGGGGGAGGGGGGGTTACCATTTGTCTTTGATGTCACTTTTTCAATAGATGCACTAAGAAAAAAAATGGAACTGGTTGGAAATTAATGTGAAGGGGAAGGACTGTGCTGAACGACGTGAGGAAAGAAAATATGTCCCTCCGTACTCCCTTGCAGCCGTGAGGCATAACACAATTAGACTTTAGATTGTTTTTTCCTCCTTCTGCCCATCTGATTTCTGCTCTTGCCAGACTATTCTCTTTCATCTGCTTTATTCCTCTGTATTGTCATAATGTAGCAGACCCTGAGTGCTCTCACAGATCACTGGTACAGCTTATCAGTGAAGTGGTTCTGCTTCAAATTGGGTCCCTTAATTTAGTCTTTCTGCATTCATTCTCAGTATTAGACTTTCAGGCAGAAAAAAGATGGTAGTGGCAAAGAGGTAAGATAAACATACTTTAGGCAGAACAATCTAGAATACTACATGAAAATCTCATGCAGAGTTCGGGAACTAAGGCAATAAAGAACGGTGTGTTTACAGTTCTGAACACTGAATAAGCTGTTTGCTTTTGGAAACAATTGTTGAGATCACCTATTCAGATCTATATGTTTGAGAGATAAGTCAAGGGAAAGGCTTACATCAGGTAAGAGATTAAAGTGCTGTATTTTCTTCCTACAATATCTGCTACTTACATATTAGTGTAAAAAAATAAACTGGTTATTAGCCCTTTTTTTCTTTTTTGGATATTTTTCATTTATTACATGCATATGTAAATATATATTTGGTTTACAATATTACAATTGTACAAGTGTTCATGTGCCTCTCCAAATATATACAATATAAATTTATACACCAGTTAAGAGTCCACATTGGATTTAGTATTAAACTTGAGCATAACATATTTAGAATCCTTTCTTTGCAATTCCTTCTAGTACAATATCCTCAGTAAATTCTAGTAGGACAAAGCGCAGGAAACATCCACATATACATTTGTATACATCTTAAGAAAATAATGTGTTTGTCAATCTTGGTAATCCTGCTAAAATTATGTAGGGTAGAGATTTAAACGTAATATACACTCAGACAGTAATATAGAATAATATAGATCATATAAATTTACCACAGGTTTAAATGTAACACTAAATGTTACATCCAATTTCAGTTAAGTATTTAAGTGAAATTGTCATACTGTGTGGTTGCAGCTGTGAAGTGAGTTCAATGGATTGGCTTGTAATTTTTCCTGGGATTAATGAGTATGTTTACCCACTGGCTACCACACAGAAATGCTCGATTGTCTGACTTGTCAGATTTTGATGTTTTAACATTCCTAGTGCAGCTGTCTCTAAATTTACACATGAAATAGTTTTTAGGCATTACTCATGGATATGAGAGATAAAACAATATTCATCTGTGGCTACACTTTACTAGAATGAACTTAAAGGCATGATTAAGCCATTAAGGCCACATCTGCCAGCCTATTTTTTTTTTAATTTGCACAGAACTCTGTTGTATATTGCTACAGTGGATGTGACATTTTAATTAAGCAAAGGCTGTAAAAATTATTACCGTGAGGTTGCAGAGAGCTACTGCTCTCATCATTGTAGAGACTAGTTGCCATTCAGTCTACCTTTGACAAACTAGAGCACCCGGAAAATTATCATAACAGGAATAGAAAAGGAAGGTGGTGTAAAATGAAATGCATCAGGGTTTTTTTTTCTCCATAAAGCAGTATTACTCTATAGTGTGTACTACATGTGCTAGATAGCTGAGCTTGTACATCAGTGCAATACATTGGCATTAGAATACATTTCAATATATTTCAAAACTTTCTTTTTGCCTTTTTAGTACTGCCTTTAGAATAAACAAGAACACTTAATTTGACACACAAAATGCCAACTTAAAAGACTTAAACACATCATAATAGTTTCTATATTATCTGTGTTTATGAATGCGTGGATGTGAATCTTTTTTTTCTTTGCTTTGCATGAGTAATCATTTATTTATTGCATGAGCAAACCATACCTAATGAAGAATGAAGTCATCTAGGATCAATCTAACATTTGTAACCCAACATGATTTCCCAACAAAAGAATACGAGGAAAATCAGCCTGTTTAATTTTACATAAACACTAAGGACATGTAGATTCCATAGGGTATGGTTTTAAACATAGTAGACATACATGGTAGCACTTTATAATAATGTCACATTATTAGGCACTAGTAAGGTGTTAGCAAGTGCTTAATTCATCATTTATATATCATTACTAATTGTTAGTATGTCATTTGTAAATACAGATATGTTTATCATTCAGTTACTGTTATACCATGTACAGCTATCACTGCTGTAACTACTACTACATCACTGTAGTAGCAGTAATATATATATTTATATTGATAATATATTAATAATTTCTATCTCTTCAGCATCTTGTGTCTGTGGTAAAACTGTTCAAAAGACGATGTGTCCATGTATGCAGAGCCACTCTTAAACACATATACTGTAGTGTAAATGTGTAACAGAGGAGTTTTCAAATCACAACATTGTGGAGACATTCCACTGTAACTCTTTAACCTCATGCTAAGTTTACAGTCAGTGAGCATGTCCATAGAAGGTGCCGTAGCTTTAGAAATATGAATTTGTAAAGAACCTGGAACATATTTACAGTTTGATTTTTAGTTGTGGAAATTGGATGAATGTTTTGTTCATGTTTATAGGGCTATACATCTGGACAAGGAACTGCTTCGGTTAACAGGATAACTCTGTACAGCTTCTGCAGTCACTGCTACCTTAGTACATGACATGACATCATAATGACACATTATCAGAATGCCATTGTAATGGTACAGATTTTCTCTGACATTTAATAGAATTTCATGAATTGGTTTGATTAAGGGGGGGGGGGGGGGGGGGTGCTAGAGTGATGGATTTTGCAAAACATTCTCTATACACCCTTGTCAAAACACAGTTTGACTGGTATGGTGAGTGGGATGTGGCAGACAAACAAAGGAGGGTGAGGACTATCTCAAACGGTGATGTGTCAGTGGAGTTGTCTGTTCTGACTAATGTTACAAAGCAAAAGCAGTGAAACACAGTCAGCACTGTGGACAGCTCTGCTCTGTATTGTTTTCTGTTCAGGCCCTTGGACAGTTCCCCTGAGATCTAAACACAGTCACAGAGAGAGTTCATTCACAGTCTATCTGCTGGACAGAGACCTTTGTACTTTCTTTTTCATTCAAAAAGTAGCAAATGAACTAATCTGAGGCTTCTCAGTTACCCATTAATCCCTATTACCCAGTGATCATAGAGTCAATGAGCAAACTTTTTGTTTAACTGTGTGATAATCACCTAAAGTAAGCTGTTCCAGAGCCTATAAATTCCTGGTTGGCGGCCAACCAGTTGCCTCGAGATATATTTCAGTAGTAGCAGAAGTGTTCCATTTAAATAAAACTGATCAGTACTTTAATGATCTGTAGATTTCGTTAATTATTAGGAGCTCTGTCTGCAAGGTATCTTATTAAAACCTGTTTTTGAGTCTAGCTTACATTTCAATTGGATGTCTTTAGGCTATAATTAAAAAAAAACATACTAGAATGAAAAGCATTGTCTTTTGATAGGATGTTTAATATTTTGCATAAGTACACTCAGTTCGTACAGAAGGAGCATTTATTGTGAACCATACAAATAAATGATCACAAAAATAAATAAGCAAACACACAAACAAAAAGGGTAAAGATGGAAAAGAAGAAGCATCCCAACAGTGGCAGATTCAGCATAAACCACTGCTTTCATATTTCATTAGTGCAACTCCGACTACCATTGGGTTGACATCATGAATCAAAAATCTTTTTATAGCCTCAGTGTGACAGCACATCTGGAACTATCTGTGTACATGTGACTGCTTTTTTGTTACAAATTATACCTCTACAGTTCCTTGATTGGACAATTCAGTGAAAGAACACACAACAAGCAGTTAAACCGAATACTTAATGAACCTATGTTTGTGTTCCAGTATTGTGTGGTTTAAGGGTTTTGAGTTTTTGTATGTATGTGAAATATCAGTATTTATACACTTAAAATGATAAGTATATAAAACATTACTTTCAAACAGTGTATTTATGAACAGCTAAAGCTGATCGGCAGACTACCATTAAATAAGTGAATTTTTCATGTACTGCAGCCTGACATTCCTTCCAGAG